TATACTTAATATAAAATGTATGTAAAAAACAAGATATTATATAAATTATTGATTTATGTATTCTTTATACTTATTTATAATTGCATGTTATAATATTAACCTATTTATTAATGATAATATAATTATCTCATATAAATTATTTTACGAAAATATAAAAGATAAAAAATATTGGTTCAAATGAAACATTATTTATAAAGAAAAAGAAAATGATTTACATAGATTTATAGGTCATATACCATATAAGTACTATATTTTTAAGCAATATTTTTGAGCTTTAATTTGTGAATTTAAAATTAAGAATCTATATGGTTACATTATTTTATTTTGAATTTTACTGTGATAAATTGAAACTTAAAATATTTTTAAAAAAAATATGTAGACATATATTTAAATATATATATATATATGTCTAAAAATATAAATGATTTCAAAGACCTCATTAGTCTGGCGAAAATTTCTTAGTTCACGAATAACAATATGTAGTATTGTTATACTAAAATATGTATTTTATATTAGTAATGAAATATTTGGATAGTTGTATTAATATACCAAGTACGAGACATTTAAATTGTTACCAAATTGTTCAAAACAATTAATTTTTAACTATATTGTGTGATTAATGATTAAAAAATAAGTTTAATATAATTAAAAGATAACTCAAAACTAAAAATAAGAAAAAATAGCATTGTACTATTTATTAACATTGTTTTCATTTTAAATATTTTATCAATAATGAGATATCTTTAAATGTGTTATTTTTTATTTATGATCAAATCCAACAGTTTCAGTATTAATATATGTTATAATTTAAAATATTAAACACAGTCACTTTTATTAGACTAAAATTAAGCACGTATATCGTATATCTAATACCATGCCGTATCCAGGGAGGGGTTTTTCTTGGTTCTATCCTACCCCCTCTATAAATTTCACAAAAAAAAAAATTAACTGTCTTTCCTTTATACTCCTGAAAACCATGAAAAAATGTATTATTTTCTAGATTTTTCTTTAAATTTTAAAGCCAGAATAAAATAAAATTATAATAGATACGTGACGTTATTGCTATTTCCAACCAAGGTTTATTGACGAGATAATGAATGAATTTTTCATGACATTTAATTTTTTATTTTTAGTATATATCGTAATTCATTATGGTACCTTGAGAAGATGTCGATAATATTTATTTTTTTCTCTAGTAGATGGGCGTATTATTTTTTATTTTGTAATAAGTGAAAAATTGCTCTTTGAGAATTACAATTTTGTAAATGTAATAAACAGGGCTCGGAAGTTCTAGCAATGCATATTTTACTTGGTTCATCCTAGAACATCCAAAGTAAGATACAAATATGTTTCAAACTACTTATAGTATTTATAGTATACTTATATAATAATGGTATTTACTTGGTTATATTTTTAAAAATATTTGAATTATTGGAAATAAATAGACCTTGTCAGTTATTATTTTATGTTTTCATCAACAATTTGATGTATTAATAGTTAGTGACGTCATTGTTATTCCATTATTATATCATTAGATTATCAAACATTTTAATAATTCAGGATGATTTCCAATTTTATATAAAATAATTTAATTATAAGTACACTTTTACAAATACTTTAATTAATTTAACATTTTTGTTAACAGTTTATTATTCAATCAATCTAGACTGTGACTATGAGTTCAAAAATTTGCAAAATTACATTTTTTTTCTTATAAATTTATAATTTTTGATTTTTCGTGCTATTTATAGCGCAAATTTTAGAGTTTGTAAGTGCATATTTAAGAGCTAAAAAGTAACATTTTTAAAACTTCCGAGCCTTGGTATAAACATAAATTCTTTTAATGACGGTGATTTGAAAGCACTTTTGTAAGAAAAAAATATGCAACAAACAACAATCTCAAAATATATTATTTAACTTCATGTAGGTATCAAGGTATCAAAAACATATCTTTGCACCACCACATTTTAGATTTACGCCACTGTACCTAATCGTTTATTAGACCATCTACTTTGAAATTCAAGATATTATAACTATTAAAACACCAACTATTTAAACTATATTACTAATAATTGTACTTGTAAACCTACTTGTTTAAATAACATGAAATATGTTATTTTGAACCATGTCCAATTAATGAATATATTATTCAAATAGGCTATTTAAAATTATAACCATAGACCAAATACATTATGATTTAACAAAGTGAATTATTACTTCTCCTTCTTTACAAATTATAACTTGCCGTAAATATTTTCATTGTCATAAAAGTAATGGAGTTACGGCTTATATTTAAATACGACTTATGGTAGCAACAAATATCACGAAACGCTTTAGAATATTTCGTAGAGAATATCGTTTTATACAATACAAAATATAGCCTACAGATACTAATAAAAGTAAATAGTAAGTTAATAAAACCCGCATTTGATTTCCTATTTATCTTTTGATTTGTTTAAAATGACTTAAGTATCAATATTCAATGATCTTGCAGTTACATGATAAAATATTTTGTGAATAGAACTAATGTTATTCGAGTTGATAATTTATACATTGCATAATCGTAAAACGATACTTCCATGATTTCGTTTATGTTATAAGTAGGGCCCGGAATTATATACTTTTGGATATTTTTTTTTGAGTATATGCAGACGGTAGGTTCGAAATCTTTACAAATTATTAAACAGGTAAATTAATAATAAAAATGTTTTTTTTTTGCATATTTGAGAATTTTTAAGATAAAATAATATATCGTATAATAAAGAATATTAGAGCATATATTGATTAATTTTAATAGATGTTCAATATTTTTTGTTGCAATGGCGTAAATAATATAAATTATATGTCCGATAATAATGATATGATATTAATATATTATATGCAATCGTATATATCATAATTATACCCTAAATAGTAATGTACTGTAATAGTATGTAGTAGGTAAGTGACTTATCTAAGATAATAATGCGTAATTAAAATATCAGTTTTTTTGTATTATGTGCTTAATTATTTTGCATATAAATTTATGCTTTTAGTTCAAGAGAATATATTAATAAAAAAACATATTTTTTGTATATTTTATTATAAGTTTTATAGAATATCGGAAGAATATTTTCAACTTTTTATGAAAATATTAATATCTTATTTTAACTATTTTCAAAGATTATTCCGGCCCCTAGTTATTAGTTATGCACACTGTGTGTTATTTAACACAAAGTGTTTCGAGTATTAACTTATGATAGTTATTAAAATACGTTAAATGTAACCCAGTTGTAATTAGAACATTGGGATCGACGATTTAATCAGGGTAATCGTGGTAATTATTATATTTATTCTTATTTTTATGAATCGCAAGTTGTGCACAATTTTTCGACAAAACTAAGCCATGGGAATAAAAATGACGAAAAAACATGTCATCTTGAACCACCGGATGTGTCGAGGATAAACGCTGAACATTTTTAAAATCGAGACGCATTTGTTGGTATTACATAGCACGAGTCCTTGAAATCAAACAAAGCGAAACGAGAGATCCCTCGTCCTGATTTTCGGTCCACCCCACATGATTATGTGCCACCGTCAATGTATTATTACCAACGCCCCACAATATTCGAAAACGAAACAGCATCAGGTGGTCCAAGAGAACAATATTCACGTAAAAACCATCTGTGCGGCGAGGAAAATCAGAAAACCCGCCAAATGATAATGAAACAAGAAATTATTCGAGATTGTAATGTATATAATAATTAAACGTACAATTCTACATATTACAAGTATTATGAAATTGGATTTTCTCTCCGAAGCACATCATAATCAAAAATTGTTTGAATATTGACAAATTAGCTGCAAGAAGTAAGTTGAAAAAAGTATATTTCTAAATATGTTAACAATAACAGAGCATTTAATACGGACGGTTCGACACAAAACGGTCGAGTAGCAATGTTAAAATATTCATATTTGAATTATAATACACACATATTTGCTCGTTAAAATAGTGACAAAATGACAACTATAAGGACACTCGTTACTGAACATCAGATCGATCACGTAATCGTAAGATGCGTTAGTTTCGAAAAAAATGTAAAACCTCTTTAAATCTAATAGATATGAATCGCAAGGATTTTTACCATCACCACTCGCGGCGTATAATATGTTAATTGGTACTGGTTATATTTCCGTCGGAACACGTCCATTACGTTTCGTATTATAATTACAATTGAACATTACGCGTAGCCGATACACCTGTACAGGTACGCGTTGAATTTTAAAGATATTTTCATTAGTTTTGCTCGTTATATACAATGACACCAGTTGTATTGCTTCGCCGTGTGCCGCGTCGCGTTTTGACGAATGTAAATTTTACGAAAAAAATGAAAACCGAAACGGCTAATACACGTTCCTAAATACAGACCATATAATCCTATCCATTCGTATGCAACGAAAAAATCATAAACGTACTCGTTGCGGTATGGCAGGCAGTACTGGGCACACGAGGTGCGTTATACGTGTATTACTCGATAATTATGCGCGCACAAATTTTATGTTTTTTTTTTTTTTTCCCCTTTTTCTCGACACCAAATCTCCTTCGGAGCCATCGTTCCCGATGTCGACCAGCGTAATAACATAACAGTATCACCGGAGAGGCGATCGAAATGATGAAACGACGCGGTGATTTCAACACTCTTCGACGCCGGCGACAGCGGTGAAAATGTCCACGACACCATCGATGTATCGGTATCGCGGACAGGCGCGAATAACGACCGATAACGTCTGCGCAAACAACGGGCCTCGGAGATCTCGGGGTGGCCGTGCCGTAAACGCGTGGACACGTATTGTTACGTTGTTTCCCCGATCGCGATCGCAAAACGCAATCGAGAAAAACCGAAAACGGTCGACTGTCCGATTCCCCGGCCGTTACCACACCGTCGGACGGTCGTGTGCGCGCTACGTGACGCTACGGACGATAATATTGCGGTCCGCAATAGACGGATAATGTGTACTTACGGATCACGAAAACATATACGCCGCGTTCGTGTGTTGTGTGCAGAGACGGTTTTCGAGTACTACATGCGTGAACGATAACGAGACGAGATGCCGTTACGTAATGCACGTGGAGAACGTGGTGCGCGCCAAAATAAATGAAAAAAAAAAAAGAAAACGTTACAACACTAGTGCGCTGCGAACTCACCGGTGGAACGCATGAGACTAGAGCGTTGGACGACGGTGCGACGAATACCGGCAGCGGCGGCGGCGGCGGCGGCGGCGGCGATGTTTATCACGTTTATGCCGTCGCAGCTGTACGTACCGACGACCACGTAAAAGGGAATGTTGTTTAACTACTTCTGCCGCCGCCGCCGCCGCCGCCGCCTGTGCCTCGACGACGTGCTCTTGACGCATCGAATATTATAATACCGCGCGTGTCGGGTCACGATAACAAACACAGTTATTAATGTGCGTTGATAAATGTTGTGGTCGCCTCGACGGTCGCAGTGTTTACGGTGTCGCACCGTTGACTGGTTTCTTAGCGGTCCGGTCGTCGGAGTCGCGCGCGGGACGAATAGGGGCTGTTCGCTCCCTGGAATTGTTTTCGCCGCACAACCGCGCACTACTGCGTACCAAGAATATCGCTTCATCGGTAAATTAATCCCATAACAATATTGTCGCGTCGGAAAAGGGCTATTTATTGTTATAATCGACGAAAATCAAGACTGTCCTAAAGGCCTTACAATATGTAAAATTAAAAATAGATATAAAGTAAATAAAATAAGCATGTGCAGTCCGGGTTCGATTTAGGCGTCTTGAGGTGTTAGGAAAAATAAAAAATGTGACCCCTTGTCAACAGAAACGTACTATACGCACCCCCTACACGCATGAGTTGCACAACATAAATTAACAATTACAATTTACATCTAGATTTTCACGAACAAAATTACAAAGCTATAAGTACATTTTTTATCTCTATAGATTTCTGTATTTCTCTGAAATACTTTGCTGATATTTTTTTTTTTTGTACGATGAAAGTTTTATTAAAAAAAAAAAAAATTATATGAAAATCCGAGGCCTCCTAATAATGAAGACTATAGACAGTTTCTTATCTTGCTTAATGGAAAATATGACCCTGTATGTGAGGGCTTCGCGAAATTCTGCTCTAAAATTCGTTTATAGGTCTATGTTTATTAATAATAGTCACTTGTGCTCACATGATTTGTTGCTGTTTTTTTAACATTGCATTGTTAATGATATCATTTATTATTAATACAGGTTTTATAAGATATTTTGGTTACCTATTACTTTAAAAACTTTTAGAGCTTTTTGAAAAACCATTTTTAATAAATTTTGATAAAATGTCTTCTTAATATGATTTGATAGTCAATTGAACACATTATTTGATTAATATTTCCAATCAAAAATTAATATTGATTAAAATAACACCTACTTCATTAATAATGATTGCGTAGCTATTTTTATATAATTGCTGTAGTAGCTCAATATGAATTAAAATATAAGATGATACTTGATATTCTATTTTTAACTATTAAGTTCATTAAAATTATTTATTTGATTTTTAATTATACCGGGAGGAAAATAAATCCTTGAGTTTATAAAAAATTGACATTATTTAAAATGTTTGTGAATTAATTTATTTCGTGTTCAAATAACCAACTAAATAATATTGTAGATGTATTTTAATGAATATAATTATAATTCAAAATTGTCCATGATTTATAACAGGAAAGTTTTAACTTCAAGTCATCCGTAATTAAAACGTATTGTCCGTTCAACAAAAAGTTAGAAATAAGTTTTATACATTCTGTACGCCCATCTTATATTTAAGAACCACGCATGGATTACATAATTAAGTGCAAAACGATGAAACTCGCCAACTTTTCAATATAATTGTTACATAATCAAAATGATTGCATGCCTGCAGCTAATAATATAAAATCATATGTATAGTTACACTGATGCACTAATGGTCTTACCTAATCGATTTGTGGATCCCGCTTTGGGATTATTTTTAAGTAATCATTATTTACACAGAGTACTTAGGTATCAACTAGGGAGGATATACTTAACATGTGCAGATTATTATATGTGTGAGCATGTACTTACGTTCACGCTTACTTCGAACTTGTCGAAACTCGTCACTGATCGAGAGACAGATAGATTTAATTTATGATCAAACACGGCAAATGAGTGATGTGATGTTTAATGGATCAATGTTCAACGAGAGAAGAAATATTAAAATACGGTGTAATGATTTTTACACAGTGATTTTTTTTAATAATTTTACTTGTAATTCAAAATTATGAAATCGTTACAAGATCATCCTGTAGAACTTAAAAAAAAAAAATCTGATTTTTTAATTTACTAACTCATCTTATTATATTAATTATTATTGATTATTTTACTGTTTAAGAAACAATATCATAATAATTAAATTACCGTAGCAATAGTTTGCTACAGCGGTGAATAGAATGAAAATTATACATTTTTATCGTGACTCATCAAACATTTTGTGATTTTTGAACATTTGAAACATTTGAAAAAATTGGCACCCACCATAGGGTATAATTAAATTTAATATTCATTCGTTTTTTTTATGCTAATTAATTATTATGATGTACTGAATGTGTACAGCGTACACGTACATGCTATTCTAAATATATTATTTTTTTTGTTAAAATTTGATACGTATATAACTACTCGTATGTGTGTATTTAGGTGATAGATGATTACAAATCAGTGCCGAGGTCATTTTTTCAGTTTATTAGTATTTAAAAAAGCTACCAACAAATTAAGAAAAAACGGCAACATTTATTAGGTTCGTGACCAGATAATAATTTATTAGAAGTTTCTAACAACAATACACTAAGACGCTAGAAAATTATAGTTTTTCAAAAATAATTGCTGTTTGTGTTTTATTTTTTCGCTACTCTAGTGATGATAAATCAACTGTAATGAATTAAAATTCTTTAGTACAACAATTCTGGTTTTTCTTTAACCAAACATTTTTTACATAAGCAATTATAACTACTGGACATAATCAATTTTAACTTTTTCTGTACATTACATTTCAAACATAAATAATAAAAAAGTTATTGGCAACCTTGTTTCGATTGGTGGAATTTAATTTTTTTCCATTTAAAGTGATCATATATTAAATACATTTTTTGAGCACAGAACAACTTGTTTTACCAAAAAACCTTATAAATGAAATTGATTTTTGTATCCGAACATTTTTAGATATTTCTCATAACGGAAAAATAATATCCAGTTGAAAATAAAAATTTAACATGGATGCTTTCTAAATAGGTTTTCCTGTTTAATAAGGTTACTAGTACAGTTTTACCATACAAAAATTTGATCACAGAAAAAATAACATAATTTTAAAAGTAGAATCAATTAACAAATTAACCTTCTACAAATCTCATAAATATTTTTGTTATATAATAAATTTCTATCGAGTGAATTCACGTTATGTCCGCCAGTCTAGTATATTATATATTAATATATTAAAATATTCTAATTATAATATTTATTAAACTACAAAAAGCTTATAAAGAGTTAGCTTTAAGGAATAATTTTAATAAAAGGTATGTTGCTTAATAATAATTTATAAATATTTAAATTTTGTTTTAATGTCTTGCATATTTAATCGTGTATTTACTTAAAAGTGTTTGTCTATTTGGCTGTTTCCCAAGTATTGCATATGTGGACATATATTTTATAAACATTCTAATCGTTATATAACACAAAATAAATGTGGATTTAAAAAAAACATAAAATTCGTAATTGAAATATTTTTTATTAGTATATACAATTTTTAACAATGAAGATATTCTATTGTAAGTATTATTGTAACAGTCAGATATATATTGTACTGTACAATATTGTGTTGGCTTAAATATTTTAACAAAGCATTTTTTTTTAAGTCATTATTTTTTCATATTAAGTCTCAATTTTATTGACTTTATATATATACCTATATATATATATATATACATATACTTTATATATGTTATGTATATCTGTCAATGAATTTTGGATTTGAAACCGGTCGTACTTTATAAATATAATAATAATCCAGACGAAACTTTTATTTATTTATTTATTTCTATGAATAAACTATTTGTTTATTTATGTATTACTTCTGTTATATTGAGATAAGTATGAGTTAATACCTTGTACAATATTTTTTTTTGTCTAAAACTCAATATTAAATTGGCTATATGTAATTATAACGTTCCCAAATTCTAAATAATAAATTAAGTATACTTACATAACACAATACTAATACCTAATTAATAATACATTTAATTTTGTATTAGCAAAAATTTACTAAAACAGAAAGCTTTGATAAATTAGAAAAAAACTTAAGTTTATATGTTTTAAATACATTTTTAATTTCATTAAACAATATTTGCTTGATATTTTATTATACTTTAAAACAATACTTTAAAAACAATTAATCCAAATAATGTTTAAACAACTTTTTATGATAAAAATCCACTGATTATTAATATTATTTTTTAAGTATTATTTATTTGTTTTATGAAATCTTTTATAATATTTCTTAATATTGACACTAGATAAAAATATAAAACGCAATAAAAATGTAGTAACTAATTATTTGTTTATAATTTTGGGTTTTTATTAAATGATAATATTAAATAATAGCCAATAGCTTAATCAGCTTGCATCGCTCGTACTATAATTATTATGTAATAATTATCAAGAACATTTAGATGTCTTTCTTTCTTCTTAATAATCTAATATTTGTTAAAATGTACATCACTATTAATTATAAAATATTATGCATAGAACAATATTTAAATATTAATTATTTTAATTTCTAGTCTTCATTCTATAATATTCAGATACAAAGACACTTGTTCCAATATTATTAAAATTTGTAAATAATGAAGCATCGTGTTTCAATACAATTACATCATTATTAATGTTAGTATAAAGTAGCGATAAACAATGAAAAAGAATCGATCTTTAGCGTTAAAATCTATTTTGTTTTTTATTTTTCTATTAGTAAGAAAATGATAAATTTGAGAATCGACGCCGTTTTTTTTAATCTTTGAGTTTATGACAGTCAATAAAAACATATCATTATATTTATATACCCAGGAAGTATTAAGGATTTAATCTGTATTATTGTAAAGCTCATCGATTGTGTGCGGTTATATGCGTCATGTATACACTTTACTATTATACTATTGCGTATATGTGAACGTGCCTATTGATT